AAAGAAGGGCCCACCCACCCCGCCGCGCCCCTCGCCTCCCGGGGTCCAAAGTTGGCCCCCACGGCAGAGTAGCTGCTTCCAGGACGCGCATGGCCTCGCCGGGGCTGCGGGGGTAGTGGACAGCCTGCCAGACCCCTGTCTAGAGACTGCCGGCTGGAGAGTAGTCGACCCTCTGGCTTCTTGCAGGGAGCTGGGGACTTGGGGACCGAGCTGGGAAAGGAGGGCCGGTGAGCGGGCAGAGGAAGATTCTGGAGAACCTGCCCCCAGTAGTGGGTGGGGTTGAGGGGGGAAGTATACAGACCCCCGCCTTGGGGTGTCTGGGAATGGGATTTTGCTAGTGTGCAAGTGTGTGTTCATTCTCGAGTGCCTCTCTGTCCCCAGATGCAGGGTTGTGCATGCTCCTGAGTGTGAGCAGGTGTGCCCGTGGTGGTGCAAGTGTGCAATGGCTGGCGGCCTCTCACTTCCCCCTTGACCCCTTCCTCCCCCGCTGCAATAAATCCACTTCCTCTGCAGTGGATGAGTCCTTGCCAGTGATGGTCCCCAGGAGTTGTAAGAGCCGCTCCTGGAAAATTCCCCCAAGCTGCAGCACTGGGCCACAAGACTTGTCAAGACCCATTGCTAGAGGCAGAGAGGTATCAACCAGAGACTGGCTCCCTCAGAAGTGGCCTCTGGAAAAAAGGAAAATTGGGAGGCCAAGGACCTCCTTTCTGCCCTGAGGGTGGATCTCTCCAAGGGAGAAAGCAGGTGTGTGCGGGTGACCCCTACTTCGAGGGGGCCTCCAGACCTAGAGATTAGCCTACCACTGTGACAGAGAAATCAAAAGCTTTTTGTGGGCCCCTGGCTTTTGTCTTGGGAGAGGGGGGAATTTGCAATTAGACACTTCTTGAAAGGAGACACTTCATTTTGCAAATGAGCTCTCTCAACCTGCACACATCTATGGCTGGCTGGGCAAGGCACTTAGGCACGAAACCACAGGCACCAGGCAATAGCCCTCCATCACCCATCCCACCGCAGGCCCCCCTCCCCAAGCAGCAGCTGTTCGTCCCCAGGAAGCTCTCCTCCCTTCTTCAGCCCCAGTGGTCCCTTCCTTCCATCCCCCACCGCAGGACAGTTGTGGAGAGAGCAGCCTAGCACTCTCAGAACCAGAGAAGGGAAATGACTTGTCCAGGCAGAGGCAGGTCTGTGTCTAGAGCCTGGGCTTCTAACTTTCTAGGCCAGTGCATTGGCTCTCAGATGAGATTAACTGGGATTAAGTGAGATGATGCATGTAAAGATGCTGTGTGAACTGCAATTCCTCATACCATTTTCACTCATTATTGAAATCATTTCATTATTTCTGCCTCCTGCGGCTAAAATAAAGAAGGAGTCTGACCCTCCTCCTCTTTTACCTCCTTTAGTTGGTAGTCAGAGCAAAGGAGAGCCCTGGGAACCCCAAGGTGCAGGTGGGAGAGAGGCTTGGTCCAGCCTTTTAACCTCTACTGATCTGAGTGCACCCTGACTGTTCTCTCCTTCCTTTCCTCCCACCACCCAGACCATCCATTCGCTCCTCCCACTCCAGCCTGCTGCATAGCTAACCTAAGAATCATACCCTGAGCCCCTTCTGCATGCTCTCTGTTGCCTTCATGTTTTCAAGGCTTTTGTCTATATCTGTCCCACACTGCACCAAGCACCCACTGTGCCCTGGAGCCTCCAGCCCCTTCCTGCCCTCCTCTCTCTTCAGAGATGGACTGAGTACAAGGAGCATTTCTGTAATGGTGCCCACCTCTGCATCTGTCATTTTTGTCTTCCTTGACCAGAGCTCTCTTTGGGGTCAGAAAAAGGCTGCCCTGGGTCATAGGTGCTATGGAGATGATTCTCCCAAACTCCCTGGAGAGCTGGTGACAGCCGCCTGGCCTCACTACTGGAGGAGGGGTCGAGTCAGAGACCAAAGTGACCTCCAAGGCAGTACTCCTCATAGCTGAGTGTCCTTGCTCTGGAATTTCAAAGACAGCAGGGCACTGAGCTGTGAGCCAAGGCTGGATGTGTCTCAGGCACCCCATCCTCACCCCACCTCTCCTCAACATATCCCTTTAGAAGTTGCCAAGAATTTCTTTCTATGTCTGTTCCCCTTCCAGGATTTTATCTCCCCCAGAACTAAATCTAAGATTCCACCACATCTATCCCTGATTGCCCAGAGTGAGTTCACTAAAGTCAGAGGTCAAAGCAGAATTCAAAGTGGTGGGGATGGAGGACTGACACCTATTGAGTATCTCTTGTGTGCCAGCCTCTGTGCTTGGGTGCTTTATATGCATTTTCTCACTTAATCCTCCAAAAACTTCAGGCAGGTTAGGGAAGGACAACGGCCCTCAGTCATGCAAGGTTTTATTTCCAAAGCACTCCCTTATCTCAACCCTGTGAGACAAGCAGAGCAAATACAGTCATGCACCGCATAGTGACATTTAGGTCAACAACTTACCACATATGCAGTGGTGGTCCCATAAGATTATAATGAAGCTGAAAATTCCTATCATCTAGTGACAATCGTAGCCGTCATAACATCGTAACATCACAGCACAACACATTACTCACACATTTGTGGTGATGCTGGTGTAAACAAACCTACTGTGCTGCCAGTCATATAAACGTTTAGCGCACACACAGTTACTGGATTTATACCATCTGGATTTGTGTGAATTCACTCTGTGATGTTCACACAAGGACAAAATTGCCTAACAATGCATTTCTCAGAATGTATCCCCATCGTTAAGTGGCACATGACTGTACTATTCTTCCTCTTTTATAAATTAATAAACCGAAGCCAAGAAACTGGTCTAAAGTCACTATGTAGTGACTTTATGTAGCAGAGACAAGAACTGAGACCTTTTATTCAAAACCCCATGATCTTTTCACTCAGAAGTCAGAGACCAGGTCTGGTCTGAGGCAAGTTGTAGGCCCCCCTTGGAAGCCCCTGGCAGAAACCAGAGCACACAACTGAGCCTGTTCAGCCCAGCCCACAACTTGTGGTGGATACAGGGCCTTGGGGAGGGCTGTGGCAGGGCAGGAATAAAATGACAAAGAACAGAGGGATGGTCCCCACCCTTGAAGAGCACCCAGTGTGGAGGCAAATGGAAATCAGACACATCTCAAACCAGCATAGAGGCAGGTGGAGAGGTCCCTAAGCTAGGGACAGAGAAGGCTCTGAGCTGAGGGTAGGAGGCAGCTGACCACTGGGCCCAGCGGCATCCATTCCCATACTCCAACTTTGTGCCAGATAAAGACTTTGCACCTGCAAATGTTGCTTGGATCTTGATTTGTATCTTTAAGCTGTGATTCTGTATATATGCAATGTTTCCCAACTAGACTGTAAGCCCTTTGGGGGCAGGGCTCCTACCAGTTCTTGGATGGCATTCTCCTGTCTCTCTTTCCTCATCCGTCTTGTCTGGCACAGTGCTCTGCATATAGTAAGCTCAATAAATGCTCATTTGCAAATAAGTGCTGTCTCTTCCACAACTTAGAAATGGTCAGTATGGTCCAAAGCATGGGAAGAGAGACTGGGGTCTCTGGCATGTCCTGAGCTCCCCAGAGCTGCTGTTAGGAATGGCACAGAGGGGATTTCAATGCTCAACTAATTCGTGGCAAATTTCTACTGCCAACCTGGCCAGACGGGCATCCCAGGCTTTGTGACCCAGGTGGTACCATGGAGAGGACACCAAGGCATGGGTAGGCTGTGTGGCCTGAAGACAGAGCAAAGAAAAGCCCCTTTGGTCCCTTCGTGCTGGCTGTAGCACTGTGCTGTGAAATCAGGGCAGGACCTCCAGGATCTGGGACAACACCCAATATTCAATATGTTCAAAACTGACCACCTGCTCTTCTCTCCAAACCTACTCTTCCCATCTGTCCTTTCATCTCAACTGATAACTACTCCATTTTTCCAGCTGCTCAAGCCACAAAGCTCATTATCCTTAGCTCCTGGTTCTCACACGCCACATGAGCTTCGTCAGAGAATCCTGTCGGTTCTACCTTCACAAGGGATCCAGAATCCAATCACCCTCACCTTAGGTCCAGGCCACCATCATCTCTCCCCGGATAGGTCCCTATCTATCTCCCTGCTCCCATTCCTGCTCCTCCAGTCTCTTCTCAACACTACAGCAGAGAGGTTGTGTTAAGAACTTTGTCAGATGACACCAGTCCTCAACTCAGTGATCTTCACTTGATCTTCACTTGATCTCTCGAGTGAAGCCTGCAGTTCCTTTGGTGGTGCACAGGTCTGCCCACCTCCACCACCTCTGTCCTCACCTCCTTAAGCTCTCCCTTGCTCCCTCTGTTCCAGCAACACTGGCAGCTCCCTCTGCCTGGAATGTTCTTCCCTCCAGTAAGTGCATGGTTCTCTCCCTCTTTCAAGTCTTTGCTCAGATGTTACCTTCTCAGTAAGACCTACACTGACACCCCTTTAAAATTTCAAAGAAACTCCACTTCTACACCAGCACATATCCTATTTTTCCACAGCACTTACCAGATTCTACTGTACTATATAGTCTACATATGTCCATTATTTGTTTTCTGTCTCCTTTCACTAGATTATTAGCTTCACAAGGCAGAGATGTTGTCTGCTAGCTCATGGCTAGGTCCCCAATGTCTAGAACAAAACCTGGTACATAATAAATGCTCAATAACTCTTTGTGGAACGATTGAATGACTATTCCCCAACACTGGGGATATATGGAGCCCCAGGGTCATCACCTCCTGCCAGTTACCTTACCATTTATACCCCTAGCCCTCCCAGAGAGTACAGGGGTCCCTATGTCAGGAAAGGAGGGAAGGAGCCCTCCCTGGGAGATTCTAACTCTCCCTGTCACAAATAAGAGACCCATGTCCCAGCCCACAAATGTCCCAGGGCAGCAGTCCTCTGGCACTAATAGGTTGGGGGCGCAAGTGCTCAGAGAAAAGACAATTCCAGGATGTAGGAGCTCCAATAGTTTTTTGTGACAACCTGGGGACAGAGTGACCCTGATAGAGAGTTGGAAGAGATGGAAGGATTTCCAGCACAGGCCTAGGAAACATAACCAGTTGCCCTATCTGAGTAATCTTGACAGACCAGGTCTCCTTCAGCCACACCAGGCCCATTCCTGATGACACTGCAGGTCCCATCTTCAGGTCACTGTGTGACTGACTCTGGACCTCTGAGTCTAGGTTTCCTCACAGGTAGTTCAGAATTGAATCACACAGTGGAGGCCAAAGACCTTGGTAAGATGTAAAGGATTGGGGCCAAATCCTCAAACAGGAGGTTCCCCTGGTGACCCAGCCTCCCATGAGCACTTCTGAGTCCTTCCCGCTCCAAGACAATGGGAGTATGAGACCTGTGGATTCATGAAGACAGTGCCCAGAGAGAAAAGGTAAGAAAGAAGGTGGAAGGGTGCAGACTGGAGGCAAGTTCAACAGCCAAGGGGCCTGGCCCTCAAAGCCTGTGGGGTTATCAGGGTCCTTGTTCCAGTCTGGGCCAGGCCCACAACAAGCCCTGAGCCCCAAACCCAGATGAAAATCCTGTATATAGCTGCCATGCTCTGCCAGGAGCAAGGCCCCAGGACCCATGGCAGAAAAGACAGACAGACCTCCTGCCTTAAGAGGAGAGATGTGGGGGAGGAGCTGCTCCAGCAGGAAACACCAAACAGAGGAGGAACAATAGCAGGGTTTCTTTGGTCCCTGTTTTCCTTGGCCTCTTAGCTGCCAAGGAACCCAGACACTGAACCTCTAGGCCCTTGGCTTTCCTCCCGGTCCCTCCCCTTAGCCCCTGCCTGACAAACTGCTAGAGAAGCACCCGTTCTTTCCCTCTGCTGCACCCTCCACCGTAGCTCCACACAGAGCCTTAAGGGGGCTTTTAAATTATAGTTGCAACACGAGGAAACTTTACTTAGCCTTACTCTGCACCAGGCACTGCCCTTCTTCCCAAGGACACACTTAATGGAGGGAGGGGGAAAGGGGAGGGGGTCTTTAGTGCAGCTCCTCTCCTGGGATCCTGAGGGTAATTCCCTGCCCCTCCTCCAAGCCCTGGAGGGCCCTCCAGTCCCATTCCTCACGTGCCTGGCCTGGAGACAGGAAGAGGGAGAGGTAGGAGGAAAGGTGGATAGCAGCTGGGAGCTCAGAGAAGGGGCCAAGACAGGAGGAGGGGCGATGGGAACAGGGAGAAAGTGTCACCCAGTCCAGGGGTGGGAGGACCTGACTTTGGGAGCACCAAAGAAGACCACATGTAAGAGAGACAGATATGGAAATGAGGTAGAGACAGACAGAAACCAAAAAAGTCACAGAAATTGAGGGGCAGAGGAAAGGTGAAATAGACGATAGAGGGGCTGGGACAGAGAGTAAGGCTAAGACTGTCAAAGGAACGGGGGAAGCAGAAATGGAAAGGGAGAGAGAGGGGGAGAGACCGAAGGGCAGGGAGACTGAGGAGAAAAGCAAAGGTCTGAAAAAGAACAGGCAGTCTTTGGAGAAACAGACTGAAGGAGAAAGCCAGTGGAGGGGCGGAGAGATTGCAAGAGGGAGAGAAATCAAGGCCGAGTGAGGGCTTGAAAGACAAGGAGACTAAAGAGACTGAGAGGAGGGGAGCAGAAGGCGGAGGGGAAGGAAACCCTGAGATCTAGAGCGCGGGCGCTTCTGAGGAAGGTGGGAGAGCTCAAGGCCGGGCGTGGGAGGTCAGGGGTGCCCTGCATCCCCACACGCACACCCCGCTCCGACCCGACTCCCAGAGCCTCTCCCCTGACGTAGCACCGACCGGCCACGCGCTCTCCCGGCGCATGTGGAAAGTGAACCCCTGGCCCCCAAGAGAGCCGTGCTGGAGGGGTTGGGACCGTTACTGAGCAGAGGGCGCTTCTCGGGGTCCCTTGCCTCCTTCCAGGGCTGCGGGGGGTCCCGGATGGCCAGGGGCCCGGCAGGCTGGCACGGCGCCCGCTTTTCCCAAAACGCCCCCCTTCTGCCCCCAAGGCCCTCCGGGAATCTCATCGCTCCAACCCCGCCGGGGTGAGGCTGCGTGAGGATGCCGGGGTCGCAGGAGGAAGAGGAGGAGCTGGACCCAGGGCCCGAAGAGGAGAAAAGGGAAGACCGCGGCCGGAGATAAAGCCCGGTGGAGGCAGCGGGCCGGAGGTCCGCAGGACGGGAGAGCCGGGCAGAGTGTCCGCAGGAATCCCCGCCAAACCGAGCGGAGCGGAGCGTGGGAGCCGCCGGAGCGCACCACGCGCGGGTCCCGGGCCGCGGGGCCGGTCTACACCGCCGCCTGGGCCA